ACTTCCTAATTTCTGATCTTCTATTTCTGATGAGATATTTCAGGCACTACCTTGCAAAAACATGTCATCTATGCTCTGAGATGCCTGTCTCCTCACCCTCATCAAGGCCTTCCTCCTGCTCTACTGCTAACAGTCTGAAGCTCAGAGAGACACAAAAGGTATTGAAACAGCTCTTCACCCTCCCCAGTGTTGTAGCAGTTTGTGTGCAGCATAGATTAGCTGTCATTGATCTTACTGGTGGTTTGTTTCTGTTTCAGCTGCATCTGAAAATGAAGCAATTTCACTAAAAATTGGAGAGACACACCAAGAAGACGAGAGAACGACAGAAGCAGAAGGAGAAAGATGAAGAGATGAGATTATATAGGATGTAGAGCGATTTACTGTGCTCCTGAAAGAGAGGCAATTTCATTTTTTACAGACAACTTTTAAAACCAAACATGTTAAGCTGAAATATGTGGTAATCTGGTGAAATCACGCTATGGCAAAGATTAGTGGAAAGGAATCCATCAATATCTATAATGAAGGCTAAAATTAATCAGTTAAGTCTGAATTGAATGTCTGTGTAGAGAAAACTACTGTGTTAGCCATTTATCCATCTATTTATCGTCTTCCTCGTATCTGGGGTTGGGTCCTGGGGGTAGCAGCTTCAGTAGGGAGGTCCAGATGTCCCTCTACCCAGCCACTTGGACCAGCTCCTCTGGGGGGAATCCCAAGGTGTTCCCAGGGCAGCCGAGAAACCTAGTCCCTCCAGCGTGTCCTGGGTCTCCCTCTTGGTCTCTTCCTGGTGGGACATGTCTGGACCACCTCACCAGCGAGTCGTCCAGGAGGCATGCTAACCAGCTGCCCGAGCAACCTCAGCTGCCTAATCTCAATGTGGAGGAGCAGCGGCTCTTCATGGAGACCTCCCCGGATGACTGAGCTCCTCACCCTATCTCTAAGGTAGAGCCCAGACACATTACAGAGAAATCTCATTTCGGCTGCTTATATGCAGGATCTCTTTTTTTTAGCCATGTCCCAAAGTTGATTAGGTTAGGAACGTAGATCAACCGTTAGGTTGAGAGCTTTGCCTTTTGGCTTTTGGCTTAGGTCTCTCTTTACTACAACATACCCCCAACCCCCCTCCCCCATAGAATCCCGTTGGGGACATGGTCAAATGCCTTCTCCAGATCCACAAAACATATGTGGGCAAACTCTCTTGCATCCTCCAGGATCCACGGCGAGTGAAAATACCAGACTGCTCCTCCTGTTTCGACTATCCGATGGACCCTCCTTTGCAGAACCCTTAAATAGACCATACGAGTGAGGCTTCAGAGTGTGATTCCTTTGTATTTGGAAAAAACGCCCTCCTACCCCTCCCTTTTTAAATAGGGGGATCACTATCCCAGTTGGCCAATCCAGGGGGAGTGCCCTTGATGTCCACTCAATGTTACCAACAGCGCCCAACAACATCTGGAGCCTTACTATGTTAACCATTTTATTTATTATCTAAACACCATCCCTAGTCACCGATGTCTTTTTAACAGTGTCATTCTGCCTCTTCTTCAGATCAGAGCTAAATCACTCACCTTGGTTAATGGTTTAAGTCTTCATACTGAACCAGAAATCAGGATTTGAAGAGAGCTATTAACATCTGTGAACTAAATTACTCAAGTGATCAGTTTCATGACTGAATTTATCATTACTGATCTAAAGCAATTTCCGACCAAAAATTTGACTCTGGGCTATGTGACCCAGGCTAGCTCCTGCTTTGCTAAACATTGGGATATTGTTAGAAAAAAAGGGGGATTTCTTGGAGTCCCTTAGTGGTTTCATAGGCTTTATATCTCCTCCTGAAATGCTCAATTAAATGTACTACCTTTGATGTGTGCCTGGTGGTTTTCAGGATAACCACAAACCCCAACAACCAGGTTCCCAGAGCAGCAAGGATGAGGTTTCTCACCACATATTATTCATCTTTATGTGTGAATGTGAGGAAAACATGCAGTGAATCAAAAGGTATGTGGCACAACCTAGACTGGTGGATGAAACCAAGTCTGTCTAAGAGCAGGGACCAGCTGTAGGTAACCAACATTACAGAACCAGATCCATTTGTAAAACAAAGCTGTAAATTATATGTTTTTCCTAGATCAGATTCTCTGGAGGTCCTTCCTGCAGTGATGAACCTGAAAACTGTTAGTAAAGAAATACGATTAAGTCACCTTAGAGTAAAGGACATTAAATAAACACAGATGTCTTATTTGTTTTTAACACAAATAGCTTAAAATAGGATTTACTGGTCTTAATATGAGAAAGGTGACAAACTGCTAAATCAAATTACTGCATCAACAGTCCTTGCTTTTCTCAGACTTAGCGTTTGAGTGGACCATGCTCGAAAAGCTTCAGTAGAAGCAAGAAATCTCACATAACGTGTAGCTTTGTTCCCATTTTTCTCTTTTTGGCTAAACTATGTCTGATCAGTGAAGACACTCGGTAGGGAGAGCAGGCAGAAATGGACCTTATAAAAAATTCAATTCAGTTTATTTCTATAGTACCAATTCACAACACATGTCATCTCAAGGCACTTTACAGTTCAACCAGATCATCCAGTCAAAGTGATTCAAAGTTTTCTACCTAAGGAAAACCAGTTAATTGCATCGACTCATTGACTCAAATACAATCCCTCACACTAAGCATGCTTGTAGCGACAGTGGAGAGGAAAATCTCCCTTTTAAGGGGAAGAAACCTCCAGCAGAACCAGGCTCAGTGTGAGCGGCCATCTGCTGAGGCCGACTGGGGTTCAAGGAGACAGAAGCAGAGACAAAAAAGTCAACTGTAAAAGAAGGCCCCCGTCCAGGAAACACACAGCCAGGCAGACAAGTTCTGAACCAGCTCCCATGTCAGAGGATGAAGAGAGCACATCCAGTTAGTCACAGTCAGAGAAACAGGACTACACTGAAAAACAGGCCGATCTCCAACATCTATAAACAAAGGTGTTGATGGCAGCAGCATAGCTGATATTTCTCTCTAGGATCGTGGAGAATAATAGAAGATCTGATTTAAAAGTATAAATCATTTGAGTAAAAGCAAAGGTTGAAACTTTGAAGTTGAAGTAGGCCTCTTATTAAATGTCACTGCATCAGTTTCTGCTGCACCAGTAACCAGTCAGTGGGATTGGAAGGGCTAAATTCAGCATCATTTCTAAGAAGACCAGTTTCTCTCTTGGTTGTTTACACGCTTATGAACAAGCCTTCTGGTCCCATGTTCTACTTCTTTATTAAGCAGCTTGACGGAAATGGCCTCATGCTCTGGTTTGGACTGTCAGTGCAATGATAGAGACAAACAGGAAGACAGACCACAGACCTCACCGACACACAATGCACAACCTGCGCATGAATATAATCTACACTTTAATATATGACATTTTATAAACAAACATGGTAAACAATGATCTCCATCTGGTCCAGTGAATTAGTTTCTTTGATTTCATTTAATTTGTTTAATTTGCCGTTTCTTATTCTCACCCTGTTTTATCTAGATCAGTGTCTGCTTGTGGTCTGTACAGCTGCAGAAATATTCATACTTGCATATTCATACTTGCACAATAATGTTTGTTACATTTCATTAGTCGATGACTAACAAACTGTTTCCATTTTACACCTTCAGACATCTTTTTAACTTAATGAACCGCAGAGAAAATTTTTTTGCTTGTTTTCATTGTACCATAAGTGCAGATGTATACAAGTGTGTGATCTTAATAGGACTTTATTATTATTATTAACAGTTCAGGATCTTATTCTGTGATCTTTGTTTGCACTTATCGTCTTAATCTGTTGACAATTAAAATAGAAGTCTCAAAAAGCTTGAACTGTTTACATTTTCCTCCTTTATTGGTTCAAAAAAAAAAAAAAAAATCCAAGTTTAAAGAAGTTTCACTTTCCAACCAGGAAGCTTTTTCAATTCAAATGGTCAGGAATAGCTTTGAATTTGAGGTTTTGTACAGTAGCCCGTCAAAAGCTTATTTTTGTTTTGAAAACATGCAAAATGAAACGGACCAAAGGGTCCACCCCTTTGGAATGGGGGTCTTTGGCTTCTTTTGTTAGCCTGCAATGCCCCATACCTGTCTGTGTCTCTGAAATGGGTGTCATTAAAGGGAAGGATTGCCCTGGCTGAATCGGCGAGGTCTTCTGCTCTCCTGTACAGGGATCGGGGTTTAGATAATAGCGCGAAGGAATCAACTCAGTTGCTGCATTGTAGGTTTTTGAAAGCGGAAATCTGAGTCCACACCATCTGTTTAACCCATTTAGGCCGGGAAACCATTACCGCATTTCTACCATTCAAGCCGGGGGCGCTGTTGCGTAATTCTACCATTGACGCCGGGAGAGCATATAAGTCAGTTTCCGTGTATACAGGTTTTTGCACCGCCTGTCGGCCTCTAGGCCAATGAAATGCATCAGAATAGAGGCAAAGGAGTGACGTAATTACCCTCTGGTCATTGTTTGGGAAGTTTTTTTCAAGCAAACATGGAGGAGTTGTACAGAGAAGAGTTGTCGAAAGGCAGTGATTTTGAGGAGTGTGTCGGCTTTGATGACGGTATAGATGAAAATGATGACTTTGAACGCGCTGAACCAATCGACCGGGATTTGTGGTTAAGACATATGTTCGAAGACGACGAGCCGGACATTAGCGACGATGAGTTTGAAGGTTTTGACAGTGACTGGAAGACGGAGAACTACCACCGCAATGCACGGAGTGTTTTCAACCGCACACCGGGGGTGAAAGTTGCCACACCGCTGCAGGCATTTGAGCATATTTTTAATGAAGAACTTTGGATGCATCTCGTTACCGAGACGAATAGGTACAGTGACCAAACAAACCAAACTCCAACAAGAGCAAAGATGGCAAAGTGGTCACCCGTGACTGACGGAGATGAAGACATTTATTGGGCTGTGTATGGGCATGGGACTTCTTGTGTTGCCAGTACGAAGAGATTATTGGCGACAGAGTAAACCTCTCTCCAGGACGCAGTTCCCCCAAAATATGTCCCGGGACAGATTTGTGGCCATCTGGAGGTAAGTTGTATTGCAATTTATAACACAGACATATGCATTATTATGCATAATAATACTGTTAATAAGTAATCATCAGATAGTTATTTATGTAATGTTTGTTCTTTATTTTAAAAACGTTTTATATGCACATTCTCAATGAAGACATGATCACATATGGAAAAAATAAAAGGTTGAATTTTTTTTTTTTTCTCTTTGATTACTGCTTTTCACTTTTTTTTGGAAGAATTTCAAAGATAAAATATATTTTGAGTTACCTTACACTTTTTGTTCATCACATAATTACATGTGTCTTCAGTCATAATCTACAATGTGAATAGTGTTGAAAATAAAAAAAATAAACAACTGTATGCCAAATGTGTTACAAAAGCTTGACAATATTTTATGTGATGCTTTCATCCAAAGTAACTTATGTGTGCATTTTCAGGTATTTACACCTTCAGAATAACCAGGCAGCAGATGTCAACAAGGATGACAAGCTATGGAAAATGCGCTGGTTTCTGAATTACCTCCTTGACCGATTCCAGGCACTGTATGAGGTAGATGGCAACGTGTCTGTAGATGAGAGCATGATCAAATTCAAAGGGCGCCTCTCCTTCAGGCAGTACCTCCCCATGAAGCCGACAAAGTGGGGTGTCAAGGTATGGGTAATGGCAGAGAGCTCCACAGGATATGTAACCAACTTCCAGGTGTATGCTGGTCGTGAAGGCTCTATGGAGAAGGGTCTCGCACACCGTGTGGTGATGGAATTAGCCAGACCATATTATGGGTCTTACCTGTCCATCTATATGGACAATTTTTACACGGGGGTAACTCTGTTAGAGGAGATGAAGACCCATGGGTTGAACGCTTGCGGCACTGTTCGTGCCAACCGGACTGGACTCCCAAAGAACGAGAGGCTTAGAAAAAACACCTCAATGGAAAAGCACGAGTTCAGGGTAGCTCAGAAGGACGACCTCACGTTCTGTATTTGGCAAGACACAAAAACCGTCATGGTGCTCTCCAACCATCACGATCCAACCCAGACAGGGACAGTGAATCGAAAAAAAGACGGAGCCAACCACGTCCCGGTGGAAGTGCCAGCTTCCCTCGCAGACTACCGGAAGCACATGAAAGGTTTGTTTTGTTGGTCTTTGGAGTGCAAATGTCTGAGTTTCATGTGTGTCAACTGAGTGTTCTGTGTGTTCCAGGCGTCGATCTGCTTGATCAAATGATTGGCTATTATGGATTCCAGCATCGATCAAAGAAGTGGTGGAGGAGGGTGTTTTTCTTTTTCTTGGCTTTGTCCTGCCACAATGCCTACATTGCTGCAAGGTCTGTTGGAGGAACAGCCTTCAGACACAAGTACAGAGGCTACAAACCCTGGCTGGAGGACCTGGCTGAGCAGCTCATCACACCGCACAGGACCAGGGCTGTTAATGTGACTCCTCCATCTTCTCTTCCTGCCTCACCATCTCCTACTCTTCCTCCCTCTCCAGCTCCATCTGCAGGTAGCAGAGTAGACACACCTCCTCCACAACATGACTGTGGAAAAGTCTATGACAAGCGCAAACAGTGTAGGGAGTGTTTGCTTGTCTCGGACACTGAAAAAGTAGGTGGGCCAACTGTGTATGGTTGTAAACAGTGCAGCCTGCCACTGCACATTGAGTGCTTCGGCAAGCACTATCGTCGTTACATGTGAATCAGACTGTTTAAGTCATCAGTATGTTCTGTTCTTGTTCTTAACAGTTCATCAAGTCACTGACACAAGTTGATATTACTTATTTATTATTTTCTTACTATTTTTGATTGAAAATATTAATGTTCACTTTACTTTTACATTGTTTATTTATGAAGGAGTATCTAAATAAACTCAATTTCCCAGGAAAGCCACATGTGTAAGCTTTCAAATACTTTTTGAATTTTGTTTCTATCTGCTACAGAAGCTGAGATATCAATAATTTACTAGGCGTTGACACAGTTGCTGAATTTACAGAAAAACTTCAGGTTTTAGGGGTATTTTTTAAAATCGGCCATAGGTTTTTAAGGTGTTTTTTTCAGGCGTTTTAGGCCTAAATGGGTTAAGGTGGGTTGGTTCTTCTCCTCCTCTTTCTCCTTTATTGGCAAGTATTTCTTTATCCCTAAACATATGGGTCATTTTGAAGTAAGCTTCAATTTGGAAGAGAAATCAATTATTTATGCCTGATTTTTGTTGTTGCTTTGTGTTGAACTTCCAAGAAAAACTTCTTGCCTCAGTAGTCAGTAAATTCAGTCAGTAGATTCATTAAATAAGAGTCTCTTCATTGAAAAAAAATGAATGAGAACAAGACTGGCCAATAAGATCTTTGGGGCAAAAGGGAAAAAATACAAAGATTGAAAGAAATACAGAAAGAGACAAAGAAGAAGGAAATGGGAAATGCAAAAACTAAAAAAAGGAAACAAATAATGCATGAATAGTCTGGTCAAATGCATCTGTATAATTGTCCTGTGTGTTGTCTTCTCATCTCAGAGAGGCCCCATGCCTGCATCCGCCTTTATTATTTTAAACAACTATCATAATTAAAAGGAGAGAAATGGGGGTAAACAAATCTCTAAGGCTCACCATTATAGAACCTTAAATAAATATTGGTGCCAGATTATGCTTAAAAAATATCAATTTTTTTATCAGGCAAGGCGCTGTATGTCATGCTTCTCACATTTTTCATGCACAGGATCTTTTTGATCGTAACATAAGCGTAAGGAGCTCAAACATGTGTACTGATTTAGCCCATGTTTCTTCATGAGCTCCACTATCACATTCATGCCTTAAAGAGACAAAATAACCCTCTATAACACTCGATTAAATCAGCCTTCCATAAGGATTTATTTAATTACAGATATACTTATTGATCCTGTTATTTAAGATCAAATGTCAGTGATGTAAGCAAGTGTTAGAAAAGTTTACTTAAGCAGCTGCCTCCCATTAAGCTTCCTCTATGCCACGAGACTCCCGGGTCTGAGAGGGGAGACACTCTCAGCCATTAAAATCTCCTCCAGAAAAGAGTCTGTACTTACTGGACTGTTCCAGACTACATTCTGCTTATGATTCAGGAAGAGCCGAATGTAGTGTCTTGTTTTCTGCTGAAGCTGGAAGCAGATGAGAAAACTATCCAGTTGTAGTCGACCAACAAAACAACCAGACCTAAATGCTGTTTGCAGAGGAGCCAAATAAGACGCCAAACCGTGACCCATTGCTTCTGTTTTGTTGTTTTGAAACTATGTTGCTGCTACAAAGCTATCCACCACCACTTTAAGGAGATGACCTTTTTCAAGGCTGCTGTAAGTGGTCAAATTAAAGCTCTGCAAACTTTATTTTTGCTGTTGCATTGGAAGTTGGAAAGAACCAAACCAAACCGAGCTGACCAGGTCCCCTCTTTCCAACACACAGTGTGTCTTTCCTGTCTTTCCTTTCTTTGTCCACCTGATGCTTCATAGCCACTCTAAATGGGTGAGAAATAGGTAGAATATATATTTTTGCATGTGTTGACTTCATGTTTTATCTGAAAGAAGCTTTTTTTATTCAACTGCTGATGGCTTTTAGTAAGAGTTCTAAACTGAACCATCAGTGATGCTGATTACTGTTTATCTTTCTTCTTAGTCTGAAGAGTCTGGCTTCTACCGTTGGACTGTTTGGCATTACAAGCCTTAAACTATCACATCTTTGACCAAGGACATACACAGTGGTGGCCATCTTAAGGTAACGTTTTATGACCCTCTGTTATAACTAAGTCCCTGCTCATAGCCAGGCCTCCTGATGTCATCTGAACTAACCCAGTTTGCTCCAAGCTGCTACATTTTGTCTGAGCATTGTTAATTATTCACTGTAAAACTGATTGAAAGTTTTGAACAGAACCCAAAAAACCCATTTCCCATTTTTATGAGCTTTTTTTTTTTACTCGTGCTTTTTTTCAGTCTTGTTTGGTTTTTCCTTAGTCATTATATAATAATGATATAATACTTTAATAGGGATTATAGGGATTATAGGGATTGTAATAAAGATGCCACTGTTTTATCCTAAGGTCTTTGTGGTTATTTGTGCAGTGAACAATTTATCACTCAGAGCCAGATCAACCCTCCTTCGGTTAACACTTGAATGGACAGAGACAATTTCTTTGGTCAATCATTAATACCTCTGCTGATAGCCATAGTCTAAATAACAAAATTGATAAAGGTAACTGGGTTTTAACAACCGGTCCAGGAGTCCCACCTTATGTAAAAGAATAAATAATTCTGGTGAATCAACAGATTACAGTAATAATTATTCAGCTAATAATCATTAATTGGTTTTACCCTCGATTTTAATTACCTGTTAATTAACTATAACTCCCAGTTCTAGTTATTTATTATATTCTCAATCTCCTAGTAAAATAACACAGCACTGCTGTAGCATATAATGAGTGGCTGTGTTCTGGAACCTTTGTGTGAGCTGTTGTTTTTTTCTGTTTGGTAGCTCATGCAACATGCTCTCCTTTAAGTGGTTGTTAATTTGACTTTAGCAATTGTTGTAAAATGAGTGTTTATAAATTTACAGAAATAATAATGGTGCTCCATGTTTTGCTTGCAAAGTGAAGAATAAGCACATGGTTTACTGTAAGGTCTAAGATGGAGTGTAATTTTGTGTGATGGCTACAGTCAGCTCGGTATGGGCATTGATGAAGCAGGAGGACACCTAGGTTAGATAGTTCCTTAATGCAAATGATAATGCTGAGGAGGGAAAGGAGCGTGCAGTTATCCTGAGCACTTGCTGAGTAAAGAATTAGCCTACAAGTTAACATGGAAATTGGCAATAACCCAGAAGCCAGGTGATCAGACCTGGCTTCAGAGCTGATGCAAAATCAACAGAGCTCCCACCCATCAGTGGTTGCTCAGGGCTTCGGGTTTCACACACACCCTCAAGAAAACAAGATGTGTGGTGAGGCGGTTTTTAGAACACTGTTAGGTTGGATCAGCACTATGAGACATGCTGTGTGTTGGAACAGTGGGCGGTGTCACACCATAAGTCACGATATTAGCATTGAACCTCAAAGAGGCAGTGCCCCCTCTCAAAAACAGTCCCAGAAACATATTACAGGGACGTCCGATGCCTTAGAAGTAGAATCACAGGTGTGTACAACCTTAAAATCAGTCAGTGTGGCTATGAATAGGGCTACACAAAGTCACTGTGCTGGTTAGTGACATGGTGTGTACCACACTCAACACGGACCAGAGAAAATAAAAGAAAGTTGTTTCAGGAGATTAGAAAGAACATTTTAGACAACATGTGTAAGATAAAGGCTATGAGACATCTCCAAACTGCTTGATATTATTCAGAAATTTGACATCCATGAGGCTGTAGCCAACCTTCCTGGAGGTGGCCAAAAGAGGACAATTGAAGACAAGTTAAAGAGACAGATAATAAGAAATGTAACAAAACAGCCCAGAAAAGGAGATTAAAGGTAAACCTAAAGCTGAAGGAACATCAGTGTCAGATCACTCAATCCATCGTTGTCTGAGCCAAAGTGGACTTACCTGGAGATGACCAAGGAGGACACCATTGCTAAAAATCCCAGACTGGAATTTACCAAATGTTGACGAGGAAAAGAGCTTATGGGAGAATGCCTTATGGAGAGATTAAACTGGAACTCTCTGCAAAACACATCAGCTCTAACTTCACAGACAAAAAAAAAAATGAAGCATATAAAGAAAAGAACTTTGTTCCAAGTGTTAAACAATCAAAGATCTGTTGT